TGTGACTAGGTCATAAAAGTTATATATTTTCCGCCTGGCTCCCTTTCTTTTTTGAAACTTCTCCTTGGAATCCAGCCACTACATTGTGAGGAAGCTCTGGCCACACAGAGAAGCCAAGAACTCCAGTTCAGTTCTGAGCCAATAGCAAAACCAACCACTGGATATGGATATATATATGCCACTAGGTTTGGGGGTCAGGTGTTACACAGCACCAGAAAATTCCAATATCCAAAGGATAAGTGTGATTATCACACTATCTGGATTTTGCCTTGTGTTGTAACAGGAGTTAAGGTCTTCTGCATCCTAGCCAGAATCTGCCTTGTATCCTTAGATATTTCTGGGAATACTCCTATCAACTGAAAATTCATTCATTTTTACAGTGCTTACCATGTGCTAGACACAGTCCTAAGAACTGAGGATATAGCAATGAATACAACACAGAAGGCCCCTGTCATCAGAAAAAAAATCACTGACTTGAATTTCTGGCCCCTCCAATTGCAAACATAATTTCTGTGACGGAAGAATATGGGGGTGGGGGGGTGGGGAGGAGTAACCAATATAGAGTTGATCACATAAGTTTTCTGTCTCTTAGCTCAACATCACGTCTGTGAGTCCCCCATGCCACTCTAGTTCAGTCATTGTCATAGCTGGATAAAATTCTACTGTAGGGACGCCTGGGTGGCTTGGTTGTTGGGCGTCTGCCTTCGGCTCAGGTCATGATCCCAGGGTCCTGGGATCGAGCCCTGCATCAGGCTCCCTGCTCAGCAGGAAGTCTGCTTCTCCCTCTCCCACTCCCTCTGCTTGTGTTCCCTCTCTCGCTGTGTCTGTCTCTGTCAGGTAAATAAATAAAATCTTAAAAAAAAAATTCTACTATAAAATACTACAAATTCATCTACCCATTGGAATACTGGTCAACATCCAGTATTTGGTTACTAGAACCAGTTTTTGGTTACCAGAACACTGTGGCTATGAGCACCCCTATATCCTGGGGCCTGTGTGCATGAGTTTCTCTAAAGAACACACCTAGGAGTTGGAATTGCCAGTCTCCGTTGGATCATGCCAAACTATTTTCCAAGGTGGTTGTACCAAATGACACCCTGGCCAGGAGTGAAGGCAAATTTCCTTTGTTCTGCATATTTGCTGGCATATGGTATCATTGGGCTTTGAATTTTTGCTGTCGTATAGGTGTGTATCTCTTTGTTGGTTTAATTTGTATTACTAATTGACTGTGTTTCTTGGTCTTCTGGCTAACCCTTATTTACTTATTATATTTTCTTATTTCTCCTTCTTTAAAAAATTGTGATTAAAATATACATAAAACTTACTGACTTCAGCATTTTTAAGTGTACAACTCAGTAGCATCAGGTACGTTCACAATGCTGTGCACCCTTTTTTTTTTTTAAGATTTTATTTATTTATTTGAGAGAGAGAATGAGACAGAGAGAGAGAGAGAGCATGAGATGGGGGAGGGTCAGAGGGAGTAGCAGACTCCCTGCCAAGCAGGGAGCCCGATGCGGGACTCGATCCCGGGACTCCAGGATCATGACCTGAGCCGAAGGCAGTCGCTTAACCAACTGAGCCACCCAGGCGCCCATGTGCACCCTTTTTAAATGAAATCTTCTGCCTATTTTCTTTCTATTGTGTTTAAGTTCACAGATTTTACGTGTAGAGAGCTCAGTGAATTTTGACATATAAGTGCTTGTAACAGATCAAGATAGAAAACATTGTTTTAGAACTTTGGAAGGCTCCTCTGTACCCCATGTTTAATGCTCTAAGAGTAACCACTATTGTAATTTCTATCATGCTAAGTTTTGCCTGTATTTGCCTCTTTAGGAAACTGTAATCCAACACTATGTATTCTCGGATCTGGCTTCTTTCATTTAACACTACGTCTGTGGGACTTACCCAGTTTGTTTTGTATACAAACAGTACATTTGATTTCACTGCTTTGCAGTATTCCACTGTATAAATACACCGCAATTTAATTATCCATTCTTCAGCTGATATGCATTTGGGTTGTTTCTTGTTTTTAGTTATTATGACTATACCTTCTAGTGAACATAGGCCCTCGTTTCTGCTGGCTACCTATCTAGAAGTAGATACGCTGGCTCAAGAGGAATTTTTTGTGTATTTAGTTTTGATAGCACCAGGTGGTTTTCCAAAGTGGTTATATGGATTTACACTGCCTTCTCCAACATGTAAGAGTTTCTTGTTGCTATACTCCTCACCAATATTGGGTATTGTCAGCCCTTTCAATTTCAGCCACTTTGGTGGGGGTGTACTTGTCTTTTCTCTTTTTGATTTGTATTGTTTATATATTCTGAATACAATTACTCTGTCAGTTTTATAAGCTGTAATTTTCCTATTTCATGGCTTGTTTTACCCTAAAATTAAGAGAGCCGTAATTTTAGTGAAAGCAAATTTTCCTTTTGCCTCAAGAACATCCTTTAGAATTTCCTTCAGGTCTGCTAGGCATAAATTCTCTCAGTATCTGTCTGAAAAAGGTCTTGATTTCCACGTACTCTTTAAAGATGTTTTTCTGTGGGGTTTAGAAATTCTAGGTAGCTAGACTGTCTCTGGCTTTCACTGTCACTGTTGAGAAGTCAGCTGTGAGTCCAACAATTGCTCTTTTGAAGGTAACCCGTCTTTCTCCTGAGTGCTTTTAACATTTTATCTTTATAGCTCTGCAGCTTCACTGTGATGGGTCTTGGAATCCATTTCCTTTCACACGTTCTGCTTGGTGTTTGCTGGACTTTTGAATCTGTGGGTTACTGTTTTCTACTGGTTTTAGAAATGTGTCTTTTTCTCTCATATTGTCACACATCCTTTCTCCTTCTCTTCTCTGATTAAACATGTTAAATTTCTCTTTTAAGATTTTGCTCTCTCTTGTGTATTTTCCATCTTTTTTGCTCTCCGTGATGCATTCCACATAACTTAATCTGACCTGCCTTCCAGTTCAAGGGCCACCAAACTGTAGTCCGTGGGCTCAACCCAGACTGCTGTCTGTTTTTGTTTTTGTTTTTTTAAAAGATTTTATTTATTTATTTGACAGAGACACAGTGAGAGAGGGAACACAAGCAGGGGGAGTGGGAGAGGGAGAAGCAGGCTTCCCGCTGAGCAGGGAGCCCGATGCGGGGCTCAATCCCAGGACTCTGGGATCACGACCCGAGCCGCAGGCAGACGCTTAATGACTAAGCCACCCAGGCACCCCTGCTGTCTGCTTTTGTAAATAAAGCTTTATGGAAGCATAACCATGCTCATTCACTCACTTATTGTCTATGGCTGCTTTTGTGAAGCACGGAGTAGCTGTGACGGAAACTATAGTATGTGGTTCTCAAAGTCTAAAATATTTACTATCTAGCCCTTTACAGAAAACGTTTGCTGATCCCTGTCTACTATGCTACCGTTCTCTTCAGTTGGGTCTAATCTGCTGGTTTTAAATTTTAATTATATTTTTCTAGAAGTTCTACTTGGTTTTCAATGTAGCTATGACACTTCTTATCTCCTATTCTTTACCAGTATGTTCAAGTTTGCCTTTTATTTCTACTGAACATGTAAAAACAGAGCTGTTCTATATAGTCTAGAAGTCTATGCAAATGTATGTCTGCTGTTTATCCTGGCCCTTGCTCATAGTTCTTTGTTTCCTTCTGTGATTAATTTAGGCATGGGAATCAATGTCCTTAAAAACTGTCCAAGGACTAGAGTGAAGTTACTTTTCTTCAAGGTGGGTCTGGGCTGCTTTTGCCAGACACCTGCAGGCACCACCATCCTAGGATCCTTCCAGGCTACATTCCCAGGCGGAGACCAGTGAATCTGGAGCCCCAGCTCATCGTGGGGCAGGGTCTCTCTTAGACTCCCTTCTTTGTGCATATCTCAGTTAGTGATTTCTGCCCCTTTGCCCTTTGGGGTTATTAACATAGGAAATTAAAATTTCCTCAGATTAATAAATGCCCTCACTTCTACAGGTACCCATTTTCTTTTCATTTGGCTTGGTAAAATACCTTGTTAGCTTGCCAGTGCTTTGAAAACTATGGTTTTTATGTCTTATCCATCATTTTTAGCTGTTTCCAGTGAGGAACTTGGTTGACAGGACTTAACCTGCCATTACCAGCTCTGAAGTTTCACTTCTCCCTGCCACAGATCACGGACCAGGGCAGAGCCCATCTTTGAAGGAAAGGGAGCACAAAGAAAACGTCTTCCTGCAGATGTGGCAGAAACACACAATACGTCTGCTGCTGCGTTAGTTAACGGACGCGTGCTAAGCCCACCTTCAGAGAGCCATCACCGTCCCTGATACATCAGAGGACCCTCCCTCAGAAGGACTCCTCGAGGGGTTACTATGACCTGAAAGCTGCTGGCACGTGATGTAACAACACAGTCCCTCTCTCGTCTGAGGAACGGGGGCAAGAGCAGCCCCTATGCCTCACAGAAGCACTAACGATCACACGAGCCCATTTTTGTAAAGCACTTAAAACTGTGCCCACACGTACATAACCACTAGCTGTACAAACTCAAACAACTCAGGTCACCAAAAGGAGTGCGTACAGCTTAGTCCAGGGGCCATATATGGTGTTGGTTACATAGTCTTCTTTTCGTTTAAATAACCATTTAAAAGGGTAAAAACTATTTTTAGCTCCAGGATCTTAAAACACACACACACACACACACACGAAGGCTGAGGAGCAGATTAACCCCACGGACTGTAGTTTGCCAACCCCTGCCCTAGCAGAACGGGCAGAAGATGGATGGAGATTAGGCACTGTGCTTTTTAAGTGCTTTCCTAGAGGACTGTCAAAGAAAGGTCAAAACTAGTGATTCTCTCCAATCAGAGGCTGAGATTTCGGCCTCCCCAAGGGAGTTAAAGAAGGCAGAGCTTGAGAACCCCGTGAGGCTGTTTGCTGGCCTCGGGCACACAGTACGAACTGCTTATACTGTGTGGGAACAGTGTGGATGGGTCTGCTACACGTTGACGTGAAGGGAGGCAAACATACGTTATTTACCTGGCCAAAGACTGTTCCGCCAGTGCTGGCTGCTTGACCAAACAAAGAACCAGTATTACTAGACCCAAAACCTGTAAAAGAAGAAGAGAACAAGTTTAACTGGGATGACTCCTTCACAACATCGAGTATTTTGTTTGTTTTTAAATGGCATTCAGGGGTACTAAGATACCCAAAAGCAAATCAACTTGTGAATAAAATCTGTTTTCCTTTATAGGCAATGGAGAACATTAAGAGTAAACACAGACCTTTGGTCATTGCTACGATTTCATACTAGCGTACATTCCCAAATCCCGAGGACCGAACCCGTCTCCTACCAAACTCCAGGTGCGCAGGGGCTGATAATGGTGGTACATTCACGGGGTAGCTTTTCCTCAGACTTGGCTGTCAAGGAGTCTTCCCAATGGCTGACTTAACACCATCAATATTTTTACTCCCCGGTTTCCTCTGTTCTCAAATGCAGATTTTTTTTTTTTTTTTTTTTTTTTTACAGATTTTATTTATTTATTTGACAGAGAGATCGAGAGCACAAGTAGGCAGAGAGGCAGGCAGAGGGAGAGGGAGAAGCAGGCCTCCCGAAGAGCAGGGAGCCCGATGCGGGACTCGATCCCAGGACCCCGGGACCATGACCTGAGCCGAAGGCAACCGCTTAACCGACTAAGCCACCCAGGCGCCCCTCAAATAGATTCTTTTGGGGTAGTTCATCTTTCTTCTGGGTGGTGTTGGACGGTTGAGGCACTGGTCTGAACAGGGCCTGGGAAAACCAGGCGGGACTGTGTATTTTAACCAAAGAGCCCCAGACAAGGAGTTAGAAGGCTGGAGTTCCATTCTCATCTCTGTCACTGATCTAGGTAGGTGAGCTCAGGCAAGTCTCAATTCCTCCACCAGAGCTGGAGTACACTGCTCAGGTACCTTTCCACATCGTTACTAGATGAAAGATTTCTTCAGAGGTTCTCAATGTGTTCAAATAGTTTGATTCTACTTGTGTGTAAGGGATTCTCAAGTTCAGGCTGCAGAAAAAAAGGACGCACCCGAGGGCGTGTTGAACACCCTTCTCTGCAAGACTCCTCAGGCTTTTCCCCCCGCCCACTCTCTCCACTATGTCATCACATTTCCCATAACTCCCACAGGCCAACAGGGCAGCAGGTAGATCTCAGGACTCTTTCAGCCCTGTGTCCTTGTAGCTGAACTTAGTGGGGGCTTAACAAACGTTTGTTGAAGGAAGGAAAGAAAAAATTTCCTTCCTGATAAATTGAGCCATTTTCAAATAAATAATCACCCAATGAACGAATGAGCAGTGATTTATAATCTTGTCCACCAAGAAATCATTAATCCTTGTTTCTCCCCCCAGAGCCTAACTGCTGAAGAAATGCCTTTCCTAAGACAATGATCAGAAAGTGAAACTTGGAAACTGTTTTCAAATTGTCCTACTGATAACTTGTGGAAGTAAAAGCAACTGCTAAAATTGGACATGCAACAGTGGATTGTTTTACTTCAAAAAATAGTAACATTTATAGATTTTTAATTACTCTGAAAGTAGGAAAAAACACAACTTTTCAAGCATCAGTTATCTGCCCTTCTAGCAAGCAACATGGCGTCAGAGGAAGCAGAATATAAAATGCTGGCAGGCAGCGAACCAGCACAAGGTGCTCCGGAGTCTGGTTCTGGCTCCACGGTTAGCACCTCATGACACTAGATAGGTCTCCTCGAGGCTTGACAGTTTGGGACATAATGGCCTCTAAAGCACCTTCCGAATTTAAAGGTTCATATTTATGAGTCATTCATTACTTGCCATGACCTTAAGCTAAAGATGCCTGTGTTTTTCCCCATGCAACTGGCACTCTGGTGGCTAACAGAGTGGAGAATTTGCTGAGCAGCAGAACTGCAGCGATGGTGACAAGGCCCAGGAAATTCCTGAAGCCGCCAGTGCTCCAAGCAGCCTTCTTGAATTTGGAGTCTCTCTTTTGTTTTCCCTTCCTTTCCTTTAATTTGAAAGTAACATAGGACTTTTGCAAACATTTCAAATAATGCAGAGGAGAACAAAGGAAGTCTTCCGTAAATTCTTACCTGAAGCTTGACAAAAGCTAAACCCAGATGATGACGCTGTCGTGGTGGTGGCTGAGGTGCCGCCAAACACAGAGCCTCCCTGCCCAAAGCCGGGACCCTGCCCAAACGCAGGAGGGTTGCTTTGGCCAAACAGCACCCCTCCTGTGCTGGCAGAAGACTGTCCGAATGAGAAGGCGCTGGAGCTACTGGCGCTCGAAGAGGCACCAAAGACGTTCCCACTGGCAGACGTGGAGGTGGAGGACACGGGCTGCCCAAAAGCAGGCACAGAGCTGAACCCAGGCTGACTGAAGGAAAAGCCGCTCGCGGGGCTGCTTGTTGACTGCCCAAAGGCCGGGGCCTGCCCAAACGACGCCTGTCCAAAGACCCCGGGGGCCGAGGTGCCGAAGGCGGGGCTGCCGAAGCCCGAGCTGCTGGCCGGCGGCGTGGCGGCCGCCGAGCTGGCTATGCTGCCCGTCTGCTGCGCAAACAGGCTCGGTGCGGTGCTGGCCGCCACCTGCCCAAACACAGGGGCAGCCGAGGGGGCGGTGGCCGTGCTGCTGGGGAGCTGACTGAAAGCTGAGCTAGAGCTAGCAGCAGGTGGCTGAGCGAAGACAGAGGAGCCCGAAGTGGCGGTCCCAAACGCCGCCGTCTCCGTCGCCAGGCTCGGAGCAACGCTGGCAACAGAACTGGAGGTCGTGGGGGGACCTGGGGTTTCAAGGGCCACAGGGACCGTGCCTGGGGTCGTCGCTGCCGTGACGGCGGGCTGCCCGGGCGCCGAGACCGTGGAAGCAGGAGCTGCCGGCTCTGTCTTGACATCAGGGACCGCGGGGGCTGCTGGAGTGGCCTCTGCACCAGGTGCCACGAGACTGGAACTGGTCGCGGCAGGGCCGGCGCTGCTGACCGCAGGCTGCGCGAGGGCAGCTTCTTTCTTCCCGGAGTCAGAAGTCTGCAGAGGAGCTGGGGGAAGCGGGGCTGACTGGTGCTGCCCCAGGAGTGAGGCTGTTGATGCTGAGGCCTCACTGCTGTCTGGCTTCTCAGGCGAAGCTGAGGACGTGGCCTCCTCTGTGCTTTTACCAGAGGACACAGGCAGGGTGGGAGTGGATGCTGAACTCAGGAGGCTACCAAATGACAAGGTGGGGAACGAGGTAGGAAGGGGAGCGGCAGTTGTCGCCGACGGAGGGGTGGATGGGGGTACCGTACTACTCGTCTGTTGGCTTCCAAAGGAAAAACTCGTCTTGCTACCACTTGGGGCCATCCCACTGAAACCGATCACCCCGGAGGATCCCGCGCTGGGGAGGGGCAGACTGCCAAAGATGCCAGGCGAGGAAGTGCTAGCGCTTGGGCTCACTGCTGCCGGTGCCCCTGTGGCGGCGGTCACAGAGGAGGTCACAGGGGGCTCTGCGTGCTTCCCTAACACGGGAGGCCCAGTAAAACTAAACCCCGAGGGGACGGTTGAAGTCTTGGTCGGCTGTGCACTAGTCAGACTTGTGGATGAAGCCTTAATGGCTGGCTTTGTGGAATCATCTGCTTGGCCGACGCGCAGTCCCGAAAAACTTCCCAGGGTCTCTCCGGCCAAAGAACTTGGAAACAGAAGCTCTCCCAACTTGGATGGTGGAGTTTCCAGCTTGCTAGAGGAGTTAGAAAGAGCAATTCCAGAAGGTGCTGCGGGTCGGCTGCTGGAAGGCGCAGGCTCGGCAGGAGAGGCTCCGGCGCTGGGTGGCGCTGTCATCCCCGACAGGGGTGAGCTCTCAGCCACAGGCTCGTAAAAGGGTTTGCCTCCCCCGCCAAATGAGAACGCGTCGAGCTGCTGTGACTCTTTAGCAGGGGGTGCTGTCCCTAGCGAGAGAAAGAAATTAGAAAGTGGGTTGGATTTAATGACACATGACCCGTCACATTCTCACGGACTGTGTCCATGCCCAGGTCTCTCTCCCTTTGACACGGTCGGGACAGCTATTCCATGACAGTGCCTTTCCTCAGGGAAACAGAGTGAATGAATGCTCTTCCACAGGAGGGCTAGCTCTGAGCTCACAGAGGTGAGAAGAATAAATATCCTTTTTATGACCGCTCCGTCGTAACAAATACACCATCCTATCTAGAAGGCATGAAATTCACAGTGTTACCCCAGAAGAGAAATAAGACAGCATCTTCTCTCATTTTCCCGTGTGTGTTTCCTCAATAACAATCCTGACACTGTGCTCGTCTATGGACCTCCTGGTATGCCAGGACTTGATCCAAAATGGAAGCTCCTCCTGTGTCTTTCCACTGTCTGTGTCAGTCCATAGACTATTATTTTTATGTACCACAGACTATTGTTTTTATGTACAATGAAGGGCTACGTCCTAGTGCTCACCTCAGTAAGCAGCTCTACAGAGGGCAACATGGACTCGTGGTCAAGGACATGGGCTCTGGAGCTGGGCACTCTGCCACTTGCTGGCTGTGCAACTCTGAAAAAGTTACTTTACCTCTCTGGGCCTCAGGTTCCCCATTTGGAAAATAAACACAGTAACAGTAGCCACCTCAAAGAGCTGTTATAAAGATTAAATGAAATCTAGGTGAAGCCCTGATAAGGCCTGGTCAAACAGTAAGCGGTCAACAAATAAAAGTAACCAAAATTGGATAGTTATAGGTAAAATTAACCTATTATAGTGTTTATGGATATTTCTAACTCCACATTGTTCTTGGGAAGGCTATAAAGCCCCAACTTCCCATGTACAATTTCCTGAAAGACCCTGTTGTATCACTGCTGTTGTACTGAGTTGCTTATGGTTTTGGGTTGTTTCTATTCTCGTATTAACTAAAATGTTTATGAAATTACCCCTGCATTTTATGACTATTTTACTTATGACTTCTGACAGTTATTATTTTATTCCTCTTAATCTTTTTATATCACTGAGTTGTTTCTCCTCTAGAAAGGGGGATGGGGAAGAGATGGGCCTCGAGGGTACTCTGCCCTATCTAAGTGGGCAAAGGTTACAAAAACAGTTCAAGAATTATTATTCTAGAAAGAAAGGAAGAAAACTACCAACCCTTTAAGTGCCACACACAAATCAGGTTTAGGAAGTCTGCCACGCTTTCAGTCCCCTAATTTCCCTCCAGATCTTAAGGGATCCCCTTTTTTACTAAAGCCTCTACCACTTGGGTTGGCACAGAGAAAGGACTCAAAAAATATTTGTTGAATGAACAGATGAAAGATGGTCAATGTCTTATTTATCATAGGGAACATCTGGAAATAACCTAAATGTCCAACAGGTAAATGGGTTAAATAGTTCAAGGCATATATACAAGATAGAAATTATGTAGCCACTACAAATAGCATTTATGTAAAATTTCCAGTAATACTGGAAAAGTCATAAGAGATGGTGTTAAATGAGATAAAGTAGAAGACAAAACACCCGGAAGGACATATAACAGAAATGCAGTAACTGAGGGGTACAACGCGTGATTCTAGAATACATCACTTTTTAAGAGCTTGCTTTTTAAAATGAAAGAAAAATAAACTTAATTACTTAAACTGAGAACTGGAAGGCACTTAAAAAATACATGTGGTTTCTTTACAGGTCCCTAAATTCTTTTCAACATTAAAAACATGCCAGTTGATGGACACATAACAACACACAGAGGACCAGTATGTTTGCCAACTTTTACAGATAAGAAGATGGAGCGAGACATTTTAATTCCCATGTTAACATCCACATCAAAAGTACAGCCTTGCTTTTCCAGAAGCAAATCCTTTCCTTGTTCTTAATTTAAAAAGTCAACAGATGTCCTCCCGTTTAGTTTAAATCCAGCTTATTTTGAATGCACAACCTCGACACCGAACTTACTGCAGATGCTTTAAGCAAGACTCAGCAGCAAGGAAAATGTCGACGCATCTGTACGAAAACCCAGCATTTGTTTAGAGGAAACACAAAAGGATGGCTGCGCCCGCAGAGAGAAACTGTACCTTGTGTGGCAGTGACGTTAGAAGACGGGGTTGGTGTGATTATCCCAAAATTAAAGCCAGTCCTAGGGAGCACAAGAAGAGAAGTTAAACACCTGGGGCACAATACTGCCCTTTCAATGTCACATTTTATGACTTACACGACCGATCTGCTCGTAGGAACTTACAACTGAGAAGATAAATGACAGCAGGGTGAAAGCATGGATCTCAGAGGTAGTAAAGGGCTCAGAGGGACGGCCGGGCTTTCCAAGGCAGAGTCTGGGTGAGGCCCCGCGCCAAGGCCAGCTAAGGAGCAGTCGTGGAAATGCAATGGGAATGTGCATGTGGGCACGGTGGCGAGGGCAGGTGGCGTGTCTCGTGATGGAGGCAAGGGAGTCGGGCCAGGGAGAACCCCTCATAACCCACCCCAAGATCAGAGAGCTCGTCAGGAGCATGCCACACTGCCAGGGAGCAGGGAGGAAAGCATGAAACAGAAGCCACCATCCCTGCTGTTTGGACAGAACTCTTAGTTCTCGGCTGGGAAAATTTGGTTCAAACCATTTCCGGACTCTTTTATCAACCCTTCTCTCCTATTGTAGATTTTCTTTAAACTGTGAGTTAAGACACCACAGCCAAAGGAGAAAATTCAGTGCGTGCGTGAACCAGAAGAGACTATTCACTGTGATAAAAGTTCAAATAGCAAATTTAAAACCACAGTTTTAAAACATAAAGGGCCAAAAAAAACCCCCCCAAAACAAAAAAACCATAAAGGGCCAAGCATATCAAATATAGTATTGTAAGGATTTAGGTTTTTCTTACCCATCACTGCCTTCCTTGAATGGACAAAGACTATCTAAGAGGATGTGTTAAACATTTTATCATATTTTTAAAAAAATCCTTTCTTTGTCTCAAGCTTGGTGAAGAAATTTTCTCTAATAGAGGTAAGCCATTGACCTAGTGACCCAAACTTTTCATCTTATCTTAAAAATGGGAAGAAGAATATCCGTTTACAGAAGTGAAGATTATTAGCCTTTGTGAAGGTAGCAATAACTCCTGGCACTGACCTACTCTTTAAGATTGGCTCCAAACTATCTTTGAGAAGTATAAAACACAATGATTTACACTAAAGAAAAAATATTTAACATCCCCCCCCAAATTCTATTCTAACCCCCTCTTTGCTCTTAACGTGTTAGGTTGAACGACTCTTAGGAAACACATTTGCATCAGGGGAGAGACTGTGGTTAATGTCATTCCAGTCACAAAAGCATGAAATGCAAGAGCTCCAGAAGCTTTCCTAATGGAACTGAACATGCAACCCTTCAACGGCAAAAAAAATCTTTGGATAGGTTTTTATCTCTACTCCACAGAGCCTAGCTCCCTGCTGAAGGCCCCTTCCCCAGGGCTCCACACAAGGTTCTCCAGCACAGAGAAGAGGTACTGTCCCTCTGAGGTTAATCAAGGCTCCCGTGGAAAGAAGTTAGAAGACTCTTTCATTTTTAAAAATGACTCAACTTCACAAGTACAGCCATCATTACTATAGAAAAATGAAACAGGAACACTTCCCCATATCTATGTAAGACCCAGATTTCCCAATGGCTACTGTTTTTCATCATCTTGTCTCAGTTTAATGTAGTGATCTCTCAAACAGTAAAGCCAATCCAAACATTACACCTAGCCCCCAAATGGTGTAAGAATGCAAATATGTCAGGGTGATAAGCTAGAAGACCAAGCACAGAATCTGACACAGACCTACTACCCAAAGAAAAGGAGGCTTATCCTAAAAAACAAAACAAAGAAATATATTAACACACATATAAACTTGAACTGAAAAGGGGAAATATAGCTGGCCCTTGAACAATGCAGGGGTAGGGGCACCCACCCCCATGCAGTGGAAAATCTGTGTATAACTTTTGACTCCCCAAAACTTAACTACTAATAGCCTATTGTTGACGGGAAGCCTTACTGAGAACATCAACAGGTGATGAACACATATTATATGCATTATATCCTGTACCTTACAATACAGTAAGCCAGAGAAAAAAATATTAAGAAAATCAAAAGAGAAAAGGTATCTATGATACCATACTGCATTTATTGGCAAAAAACCTGCATACAAGTGGGCCTGTGCCATTCAAACCCATGTTGCTCAAGGGTCAGCTGTAGATTTACATTAGAGCAATAAGCTACTATCATCAGATGCATTATTGAAGTGATAAGAACTCCGGGTTCATATACAGTTAGTAAGCAGACAAATATACCTCTGACTGTAAGACTGGGGGAAGCTATCTATAAGGTGCTGGCGATCTGCCACGAAATTTAAGTTCATTACTGACCCTGCTGGAGAAAATGAGAAAGACTTGCTGAGCTGCCCAGCAGCAGGAGGGGGAGAAGTCACAGCTGTTTCTATCTTGGCTGCCCCTGGCCCTGAAATCGTGGGAAAGAGAATAAGAACATTACAAAAAGCTGTTAGAAACACCGTTCCAGTTTGTGATTCCGCACAGCCCCAGCCACACGATGCCACATAAAGGAGCAGAGCCCCAGCCTGCGGGCCCCACCGTGCTCTCCCGACGGGCCAGGTCAGGGGCCAGGGGAGTGGGTGCATTCCAAACTCGTGTGCAAGGCCTCTGAACTTGCTCATTGGCTCTGTCAGTGTTAATTCCAAACCAACACATGCCCCACCCTCCTTTCCACAAAAGCTATCAAAATGATTCCAGTGCAGTTTAAATTGAAACCTTTGAAAGTAGTTTTATAATTTTATAAGATTTAAAATTTTATAATTTACAATGAAGTTTTGTAATTATGGAAAAGTAATATATACTGAAGGAAAAAAAATCCAAAGAGAAATAGGGTAATATGTGAAACATCTCTTCAGTAGTGACTTCACGGCCATTTGCTTTCTCCCTACATTCCTAGATTTCTCATAGAGAATAGTTTTATATTTAACAAATAGCCTTCTTTTTCATTACCAAAGTATTACATGATTGCTGTAATGCAGAGAAGCGCAGAATGCTAAAAGTGTAATCCAACCTCTTCCCCACGCTCAATTTCACCGTAAGTACTCAGAGTATGAACAGTTCGGGGTATTACCTTCAATCTCCCGCCTATTGCTCTACTTTAAAAAAGGGAGGGAGAGGAAACACTTTATCTAAAAAGCTCAAACTGGGGCATCTGGGTGGCTCAGTCCGTTAAGCGTCTGACTCTTGATCTCAGTCAGCTCAGGTCTTGATATTGGGTTCCTGAGTTCAAGCCCCAGGTTGGGCCCCACGCCCAGCGTGGCACCTACTTAAAAAAAAAAAAAAAAAAAGCCCAAACCAAATCAAATGTAAGGAAAAGTACATTCTATTCAAATGAGTCCAAGGTAGATATTAGTAAAATTATTTTAAAAACTACTATAATGTAATGTGCTGTGTATTAAGGATATTCAATGCAACCTTGCTTATAATCTTGAAAAAGCAGAAACAATCTAAACTATCAGCACAGTACTGGAAGAACTTAACAGGGCGCAAGTCTTAGGCTACAGCTGACACAAGTGAGGTGGAGCTGTGTCAGATCTGGAAACGTGAACTGAATATTTATTGCAATAGGGGGAGGGTTAACATATACAGGATATGTCCATTTTTGTTTGAAAAACAACAATGAAGTAACCTTCAAGATATACAAATTAAAGCATTAAGGGCTGTTACTTCTGGAATACGAATTTAATGGGCAGCTTTCAGTTTCTACATTATATCTCTTCGGTGTAAATTTTTTTGAGCATCTATAATAGTTTTATAATCAGAAAAAACAATGAAGGTATTTCCATTCTTAAAGAACTATAGAGGTTTCAGAAAAAAATTTTTAAAGAAACTTTTTGTAAACTTCTAAATAGTATTTTTCAGGGAAATTTTTCTGCCTCCAAAAGTCCTTTTCCTTTGATTATCCAGCAAGTGAAAACAGAAGTAAATGTCCAGCAATGAAAGACAGTATTTCACAATCACTGCTACGTGATAAATCTTAGAAATGTCTGGGCAAGTCACGCTAACTGTGTAAGATGTATGTGAAGCAAAGTTTCTTAGATTTCCTTGGTTCTTAAGTTCAGGAGTGACAAAAAGCCCTTCAAAGCAGTCCTTGAAAGAAGTTGGGATACAGGGTCTTTCAAAAACTTTCTAAAACATGAGCCAGAAATGGAAACAAACTTCTTAATTTGATACCTAAATGATTCAGAAGTCTTTGGCAACCCTGCTAAATTTTTCCTTCAGTAAACTTTAGATCCCAGTCCAGAAGTGCTCCTTACCTCCTTCTCAAGGAGAGTGTCCACGGCGACAATGGTGGCTCTGCACTAAGCCATATTCTAGAATACACCTGTAGCGTAGACGCTAATGGTTTGCTTGAGTGCAGTGATAAACCCAGTATCTAGTCAGACAGCTTTTGAGTACAGAGAAAGTTAGAATGACGGTATGGCTGAGCAGAGATGATGGGAAGTGGGCTGCTGATGTGGGGGGTTTCAGTCTCCAACAGAATCTGCCTGGAGACCCACTTGAGAGCATGAATGAAAACAAAGCTGGAGTCCCACGTGTGGTGAAAACTCAAGAGCTGTGGGTGGCACAAGACCCCCAAAGCAGAAAGTAACACATGCCAAATTAGGGGTTATAAAAAAGGTGCCCACAGAGGGAGATGCTAAGGATCAACATCAGGTTATACATAACCTTGTGCTTCAAGGTGGTTCGGGCAACGTGGACCTCTTGGTTAAAGCACCAATGGGGACTATAAAACTACAAATTTTAGTTAAGAATAACTAAGCTTGAGTGGGTACTGGGAAGTACGTGAGGTCGTAAAATCTGATACTGACATGACATCTACTCTGACATCTTATATTATAACACATCTGTTTTACCTATTGCATTTTACCAGCTTTGAATTATCACTGTGAGCCAAGAGGATTTTTCATCCCTTTTAGTAGAAGAATACAGTTTGTGTTCCATTCCCCTCCCCTCTTGACTTTCCAGCAAGGCTAGTGAAGACAACGCTATTGCTCCTTCTCAGGAAAAGCATTTCCAGGAAGATTTTTCTCCTACTGTGCTCAAATTTCAGAAGTCTGCAGAGCTGATGAAGGGCTCACTGATTTCCTGGAGATTCTTCATTGACTGAGGCCTTCCAAAGATCTCTTTATTTGATTTCCTATGTCAACTGCCTCTGTGATCTAGAACGCTGAACTGCTATGGGGGGTTTCTTTCACCTCTAGCGTCACTAAAGCAAAAACGCAAACTGACCTGAAGCTTTATCACCAGATGACAACTGACCAGACACTGGCGTGGGCCCCGGAGGCTTTAGGGAATTTATTAGAGATCCCTGTAACAGAACACAAGCAGAACACTTATGTGAAACCACTAACCATCCTTTAGAAAAAAGAAACATGTAAAAGGAGAACATCATTTAAAAGTAAGCAAGCATAAATACTTTTATTTAGCTTAATTTTAAAAATCCTTACAATTTGAGTATTTTTATTTATTTTTTTAAAAGATTTTATTTATTTATTTGACAGAGAGACACAGCGAGAGAGGGAACACAAGCAGGGGGAGTGGGAGAGGGAGAAGCAGGCAGGAAGAGGGAGAAGCAGGCTTCCCACCAAGCGGGAACCCGATGCGGGGCTCGATCCCAGGACCCCGGGATCACGACCTGAGCTGAAGGCAGATGCTTAACGACTGAGCCACCCAGGCGCCCCTAAGTGAGTATTTTTAAATGCCTGCTGTGTGTCAGAGCATATTGGAGGATGGAAATGGGAATACCTGCAAGCTCCAAGAATGCAGTCTTGCCTATGTTGCTATTTTCCCAGTGCCCAGCACAGTGCCTGGCACATAAGAAGCACTGGATTATCAGGCAGGTGAGTAAGGGAATGAATGAAATGGGTGCTGGCTCACAATAAATTTAGAATAAAATGAAAAGCAAAACTGTTTTCCTTCTCCATCTCTGGGCAATGTTCCTTTACTCATTTGTTATGACTTAGGCCTACCCAGGTGTCCTCCAAGGCCAAAATGGGACCCTCCAGAAGCATGACCAGATGCTAAATGCTTAAATGCCATTTTAAGTCACAGCAAACTAAGGCTCAGAGCCATGCTGAGAACTCAAAATAGGCAAATTCTGATGTTCAATCTCAGACACAATCTGAAATGACTCATCTCAGAGACATGGAGAGTAGAAGAGAAACCAGGTCTTCTTAGGGAAGATTTCAGAGATAGCTTAATCTACCTTTCAGCCATCTCTGATTATCCTTTTCTGGATTGTTTAACTGTTTACAATGTACCCTATATTTGTAAGAAAAAATGTTTATCAGGCAAAAGCCTAAATGTAGACATAACGAACATTACTGAATATGCAATCTCTGAACAACAGACATTGTAGGAGGAAGCCAGAGAAGCTGATCCCCAGGCACTGATCCTGAAAGGTGGCAGTGTAAAAACCACAGATGGGAAGAAGGTACGAGAGCTGGACTCCAGCTCTGGTTCCAGCATTTACTGATCATGTGAGCTTGCATCAGTCACTTGCACCTCAGCTTTCCTTCATCAATGAAACACATTTAAATACATGCCCCGTTCTACTGCACATGGTTGTTGTATGGGTTAACGAAGATCATGTTAACTGAAGGTAAATCAGAAACCCAAATAACCCTTACAATGGTAAGGTATTAGAATTTTGACCCAAGATGACTAGGTGCAGAATGTCAAATGGCACAAGAAGACAACGTCAGGTCCCGACTGACCTACTGTGTCAAGACTGGCATAAATTATAGGGAAAGGATCACAGGTCTTTGTCGGACTTATAGTTTGTTTAAACAAAGTCAGGACTTAAAACAGTACTGTCTTCAGTTTCAAAGACAGACACTGCAAGGCTGTTCAAAAAAGCAAAAATCAGTAAGTCACCTGCTTAGCCTGGTTAGCAGCTGCTGGGGTCATTGCAGGGTGAGGTGTCTTGGCTGCAGAGTATGGCACCGAAGAACTGAAAAAAAAAAAAAAAAAAAAAAAGCATATGCTCAAGAAAAAGACATGTGGGTGGAGATCGCATTCATCTTTGAGCCTACCTTCTATCCAATAAATGATACCAATTTTGAGTAGAATATGCCAGGGACCCTAACCAAAGTCATGTGACACTTTTCTGAAGAATAAATTCTTTAAATGAAATTTGAGTCTTCAGCATAAAAGTCAAAGCAGTGAGCTTAAAACTTTTTTTTCTTCCTGAAATCCTAAGAAAAAATGTTAAAACTATTCAGAAGTAGAGCTTTTTCTTATCTGGAGAGTCAGCCTTCTTTATCCTCTCCCTGCCCCCTCATCCTAGTTCTAGACTCTGTGGGGCATGCCTGATTCTCTTCTCCAAGCCTGAGAAAACGTTCGACAGGATCCATGGGATGTATGGGAGCTGCTGCGATAAACAGCTCCAAGGTGTTACTCAAGGAGGAGACTGCAACCACCCCCTCAAGCCCAGTGCCCCCCAGGCCAGCACACAAGATAATCAAATGCACCGCTTGACCATAGAGCCTGCACCTTCGCTGCAGTCTGAGAAGTCTATCCACTATTTGTAGAAATGAGATCTTTTGTTAACCCTGAACGCAGTATGCAGTGAATTGTTTAGTAATTATTTAGTGTTCAAGTATGAGGGAGCAGACCCACTTGCTTAATGCAATCATGGATAAAAGTTCTATTCTCGGTTCTTGGGAGCAATTTATGTATCTGTCCTCAGTCCAAAGCTACCTTGACTGTTAAGTATAGCAGTAGTAGCTGTAGGATCCAGTTTTATTTTTCAGAATTCCCCCTAGAGTAGGGAGGATTGCCATTTTTCCATCAAGAAATTAACTTGGAAGAGGAAAGACAAAAATAAGTCCATGCCTCATAGAAGAAAATTATCAATTTAACGATCTTCTAAGCTCCTCACGATTCTCTGCTGGATTAACACAGGAGCCTTCCCAAACTTTATGAGATGGAGAGACAAGAAAAAATGGGTTGTTTTCAATGAAACAAACCCCCTTTGCTTTTCCAGGAAGACAGAAGAAGCTATAAACGTGTTCTCTGAAGAAACACATCTCTGTTCCCCTGAGATGTTCCACCACAGAGAGAAGGAATGTGGGAGCGGGGTTGCTGGGGCTGAGAAAGCCCCGGGCAGACACGGCAGACCTGGGTAAAGATGTGGTTTGAGCTCATAAAAATCACAAGGGAGGGGCGCCTGGGTGGCTCAGTCGTTAAGCATCTGCCTTTGGCTCAGGTCATGAACCCAGGGGCCTGGGATCGAGCCCTGCATTGGGCTCCCTGTTCGGCGGGAAGCCTGCTTCTCGCTCTCCCACTCCCCCTGCTTGTGTTCCCTCTCTCGCTGTGTCTCTCTCTCTGTCAAATAAATAAATAAAATCTTTAAAAAAAAAAATCACAAGGGAAATGAAAATCTTTCATGCTTTCCCAAAGACAAACAAAAAAGAAATTATAAGTAAAAATAAAAGCAGCAATTTATCCAACCTTTGAATATTTTTTATACCCAAAACTTAGTCATGGCGTGATGGTAAATTAAACCATGCACAAAATAGGCTGAGTACAATTATTATTCTCGTTGCTTGTGATAATGCTACAAAATCTGTTGGGTGTCCTAAATCCCCAAACACACAACATTAGGAATTCCCAGCACCTCCACACAGGGCCACGTGACAGCCCTGCAGAGAAATGCTGCTCAGCGCAGCCACTGACAAAACCAATCGACTAGTTGGGATCGGCCGTGATCCCAGAGAGCCACAGACGAGAAGGCATGACTGAATTCTACTTTATAGCAGTACAGGCCTGAAAGGGATGATCAGAACTTCATTTGATGTGCTCTGTTCCACACCTGGAAACACAAGTCAGAGGACTGTGAGCAGACACCGGCAGCGCACCAGAACTCCAAAGAGACACCAACTGCAGGCGTCCGCAGATGACATTACATTACTGGCGACACTTGAGTGCTGCTTTAGAAATGAGTAACGGGGTTGCACAGGTCACAGAGACTGGTCCAATTTGGTTCCTGGAGAAAAAGACTTTCAACGGAAGCTAAGTCCTCTGGCTCCCATTCCCCAGACCACTCTGATAAAAATTAAGCAACGATGCAGGTGAAAATACCAAATATCATCAACACAGGAAATGTAACCACCAGACCCCTGTCAAAGACTGCCTTGAATACAGAAGAATCACTCTGCTCTCTGTTGTTTTGTTGTTTGCCAACCCTTTCAGTGCCACCTGCCCACAGAAGCGGGCTGATGTGCCCATGTTGTTAGGGTGTGAGTTCTACACACGATTACAAAACTGAACTGTTAAGACCATGAAGCATTAAAATGTCACGTAGGCCCTTTCTTAGCGGTCCTTTAGATGTTAATGAACTTTAACAAGGTAAAAGTACTGTTGTTGTGAAAGGGGCCAAGTACTCATTCTTTTATCTATTTCAACATTTTTTTAAGTAAGCTCTATGCCCAACATGGGGCTCAAACTCATGACCCCAAGATCAAGAGTCGCATGCTCTACCGACCGAGCCAGCCAGATGCCTCTATTTCAACATTTTAAAGGGCTTAAAAAACAAGAAACCTGAGGGGCGCCTGGGTGGCTCAGTCAGTTGAGTGTCTGCCTTAGGCTCGGGTCATGATCCCGGTGTCCTGGGATCGAGCCCCACCTCGGGCTCTCTGCTCAGCGGGGAGCTTGCTTCTCCCTCTCCCACTCCCCCCTGCTTGTGTCCCCTCTCTCTCTCTCAAATAAATAAATAAAATCTTAAAAAAAACAACCACCAAGAAACCTGGTTATGCTTTATTTTGGTAATTCTGAATCATTATCATGAGTATCCTGTTACGTATTCATCGATGACACAGCATATCTAAACTGTGAAAGCTACTCAAATGCTAACTAATGAACTAGGAATTTTTTGGTAATAGTTTAAAGAAAGGTAAGGCAAGTGAGGAGAAAGCACAACATCTCAAGAGCAACCGGAGAAACAGACAAAACAAAGATCAGGAGAGAAAAGGAAAGCAGATGACAGAAGATGTGGAAAACAAAAGCTATCAGTCCATTTTCTCACCTACCAGATGGACAGTCACCCTGAAGTCTGATAACAAATGTGACACTCTGGGCAAAGATACAGGCAAGCTTGTCATCATACACTGCTTGTGGGAAGATAAATGATACAACCTCTACAGGGGTAAATGTGGCAACAGCTGTCATAATTACATCCACGTATGTCCACAAGTACACAGATGCCTCCGTGGCCTCAGAAGTCCAGCACTGGAGAGTTTATCCTACAGATACAGCCAGCTGCAAGCATGCAAAATGATCAATGTGTCCATTTACCATAGCATTGTTGGTAACAACGCTAGAGGAGTATCCCCAATGTCAATCAGTGGAGGGGGAAAAAAAAAGCTATCGGTTCATTTTTAGGAGTTTCTTATGTCTGTCAGTGGAGATTATAACTGTCAACCATTGTTCCCTATTAGTAAATTTTATGTCCTTGAAGATTCAAAATATTTTCCAAAATACCATTAAAAGTCTTCTAACCCAAACTGCGGTTCTTGCATGAATGTCCAGATGCCAAATGACTTAAATAATGTAAGTTGTAACTGCTTTAGAGCCCTGAGAAAGGCCTATATTAAATATAAAAATGGGATTCTGTTAAGAATTCATAACTTGGAAAATGTTCACAATCATGTTTAAGCTGAAAGAGGAGGTTACAAAGCAGCATGTATTCAAACTTTACTTTAAAAAACTAAATTTTCAGAAAATAAAGATGAATAATATGTAAATAGTGACTGAACCTTTGTGGTGGGAATAAAGGTGATTTTAATTTTGTTCTTTTTAACTATCTGCTTTTTATAATGTCTATAATGAACATTTATAATTAGGAAATATCAGGATCAAAAAAATTTTTTAAGGTTATGGTTGTTACTAAAGTTAAAGTGGGGCGGCAACCTTAAGTCAGTGAAAGAAAAAACTGTCAACCTAGAATTCTTGGTGAAAATATTCGAAATACTTGAAGTATGATCAACAAAACATTCAAAAAACAAAAGTGAAATAAAGACTTTGGCAAACACATGAAAGCTGAAAGAATTCAGATCTACACCTGAAGAAATGTTAGAGGAAGCTTCAAGCAGAAGGGAAACCATAGAAGACAGAGACATGGGACTGAACAAAGAACTGAAGGACACTGGAAATGATAAAACCATCTGGGTGAACAAGAGGTTTTTCTTCTTCTTTAAATCTGTTTAAAAGATAATCAACTGTTTATACAACGTATCATGGAACTGATAACATAGGTGGAAGTAAAATGTACAATGATGAGAACAGCACAAAGGTGGGAGGGCAGAAATAGAAAAACACTGCTGTAAGATTCTTACATGGTATTTTTAAAAAAGATTTTATTTATTTATTAGAGAGAGCGCGCACAAGCCCGCACGAGCAATGGGGAGGGGCAGAAGGAAAGAGAGAAGCAAACTCCCCGCTGAGTGGGGAATCACTTGGGAGACAAGACTGGGTAAGTTAAAGATGTACACTGTAAACCCTACTGCATCCACATAAATAACATACAGTGTTAACAGCTGATAAGCCAACAAGAAAGCTAAAATAGAATCATAAAAAATACGCAACCCAAAAGAAGTTGCAGAAAAAGAGGAAAAATGGAAAAAAGAACAGATGAGACAAGCAGAAACCAAACAGCAATATATAGATTAAAACCCAACATCATATAATCACATTAAATATAAATGGTTTAAGTACTCCAATTAAAATTCACAGATTGTCAGACTGGATAAAAAACAAAGACTCAACTATACGCTGTCTACAAGAAATCCATTTTAAATAAAGACACAAAATTGGTTCAAAATAAAAGGATGGGAAAACAATACGCCATATTAGCACCAAACAAAGAAAGCTGGATTGACTACATTCATGTAAGAGAAAGTAGATTTCAGAGCAATTAACCCTAAAAGGGATAAAGAGGGTCATTTCAATAAT